TGTGCTTTGGGGAGTCTTATTCATAAAGTTTTTGCCCACTCCTACTTCCTGAAGTGTTTCCCCTATGTTTTCTTTTAGTAGTTTTATAGTTTCAGGTCTTATATTTAAGTCTTTAATCCATTTTGAGTTGATTAAGGTATATAGTTATAGGTACAGGTAGTTTCATTCTTCCACATATGGATATCCAGTTTTCCCAGCACCATTTATTAAAGAGGCAGTCTTTTCCCCATTGTATGTTCTTGTTGCCTTTGTTAAAGATCAGTTAGCTGCAAGTACTTGGATAGATTTCTATGTTCTCTGTTCTGTTCCATTGGTCCAATTGTCTGTTTTTATGCCAGTACCATGCTGTTTTGGTTACTATAGCTTTGTAGTATAATTTGAAGTCAGGTAGTGCAATGCCTCCAGTTTTATTTTTTCTTGCTCAGGATTGCTTTGGCTATTCAGGGTCTGTTGTTGTTCTGTATGAATGTTAGGATTTTTTTTTTTTATTTCTGTGAAGAATGTCATTGGTATTTTGATTGGGATTGCATTAAATCTGTAGATTGCTTTGGGTACTATAGACATTTTCACCATGTTAATCCTTCCAATCTAAGAGCATGAAATGTTTTTCCATCTTTTTGTGTCCTCTTTAATTTCCTTCAGCAGTGATTAGTAGTAGTTTTTATTATATAGATCTTTTACCTTCTTGGCTAACTATTCCTATGTATTTTATTTTTTTGGTAACTATTGTAAATGGGCTTCCTTTTTTGATTTCCTTTTCTGTTAATTCATTGTTGGAATATAAAAATGCCACTGATTTTTGCATGTTAATTTTGTATCCCACAACTTTACTGAAATCATTTATTAGCTCTAAGAGTGTTTTGATAGAGTCTTTAGGTTTTTCTCTATATAGTATTGTGTCATCTGCAACAGGGAGAGTTTGACCTTGTCCTTTCCAGTCTGGATGCCTTTTAATTCTTTCTCTTGCCTGATTGCTCTGGCTAGTACTTCTACTATATTAAATAGGAGTGGTGAGTGTGGGCATCCTTGTGTTGTTCCTGTTCTTAAGGAAAAGGCTTTTAGCTTTTCTCCATTCAGGATGATATTGGCAGTGGGTTTGTCATATCACTTTTATTGTGTTGAGATATTCTCATTCTATACCTAATTTGCTGAGAGTCTTTATCATGAAGGGATGCTGAATTTTGTCAATGCCTTTTCTCATCTATTGAGATAATCATATGGATTTTGCCCTTGATTTTGTTGATGTGGTGCATCACATTTATTGAGTTGCATATGTTAAATCATCTGTGCATTCCTGGGATGAATCCCACTTGATCATGGTATATAATATTTATGATGTATTGCTGTATTCTGTTTTCTAATATTTTGGTGAGGATTTTTGCATCTGTAATTCATCAGATATATTGGCATATAGTTTTCTTTTTTGTTATTGTTGTATCTTTGTCTGGTTTTGGTATGAGGGTGATGCTGGCCTCATAGAATGAGTTTGGTAGAATGGCCTCTGTTTCAATTTTTTGGAATAGTTTGAAGAGAATTGGTATTAATTCCTCTTTAAAGGTTTGGTAAAATTCAGCAATAAAGCTGTCCAGTCCTAGGCTTTTCTTTGTTGGGAGACTGCTGATTACTGTTTCAATCTCATTTTTTGGTCTGTTCAGGGTTTCTGTTTCTTCTTAGTTCAGTCTTGTTGGTTTGTATGTGCAGACATTTATCCATTTCCATCTAGAAGTCTGTATCTGTACCATTGCCAGGTTTTCAAATTTGTTGGCAATAGTTGTTTATAATAGTCTCTAATGATTCTTTTTATTTCTGTGGCATTGGTTGTAATGTCTCCTCTTTCGTTTCACTTCTGATTTCTGTTACTTGGGTTTTCTTTCTGTGTTCTTGGATGCACAAGTCTGGAGAGAAATTTCCGTCTCCCTGAGGTGGAAACTACATGGGAGAGAATAGGTTTCGTTTCAAATACCACAGACTTTCACTGTTCTTTTTCAGTTTTAGTAGACTTTTTTGAATATTATTTTTTTCACTTGCTATATGTATCAAGGCCACTTTGGAGACTTTCATTGGTTACCTTTTTATAATTTTCACCAGTTTCACTGGAGAATGGGTCAGCAGAACTCCCTCTGTCCTGCTGGAAGCCTGGCCGTCCTCTTTCAAGCACATCTATTTATGTCCACTTCATACTGACTTTACACCTGCACCTAAAGTGACTGTGCCCATAAAGTGGGGAATCTAGGTCCATTGTGTCTGAGGCCATTTTTAATATCCAGTTTCCTATTGACACCTGCTTTCTTCTCATTATTGTAAATATTTGTAGTATTATTTTTATTGCTTACAAAGTCATATTTGAATGATTAAATGACATTACATAAGGGCAAAGACCAATCTTGTGATCAGACTTTTTCTAGGAAATCACTCCAATTTTCTGTTTACAGAGGAAGCAAGGAGTCATTTACTTCAGTATACACATTCACATACTGAAATGCAGAAAAGCTGATCTAAATTAGTATTTTCTTTGTTTTAGTTCATCTCATTTTAAATTAGTATTTGGAGGAATTCAGAGTAATATTGAAAAGACTCACCATCTTGATGATTTATTTTTCATAACTCAGATACCACCGGGGTCCTTCCTGCCTGTGGGACACTTAGGAAAATGTTCCTGAGTGAGGGGTCTGGGGTCCCTCATCTTCAGGATGCTGTGAGGTTTGCCTGCCCTGCTGTTTTGTATCTGCCTGGTCCCACCTGAGTGTGCACCTCTGGCCTGGGAGCTGGCTGAGTGCAGCTGTGCACCCCCTCTAACTGTCAACCCTCCAAAGTATTCTGTGAATTTAGTAATTTCCTGATGTTTTTAAATGTGGGGGAAGGAGGAAGTAATTGGGGAGCTCTGGGCTTCCTCAGCTACCTTCTCCCTGGTCCTGCCTGTGGTCCACACACTTTGGGATCTAGCTGGAAATTTCTTACCACATTTAGACCCAGAGACTTTTATCCAGAGTCTGGCTTATCAAAGCCTTTTCTCAACAATGGGAGGGAGGGTGTTCTTTAAAGCAATCCCTCTCTGCTGAGACAATTATGCGTTTTTCTTATTATTACATTTTTTAAAGGCTATATTACATGGGGACTGTAACTGGAGCCCATAGAGGGTATTTGTGAAAACTCTGAAACTGAACTTAAAAGAGATTTAATCAGATGTTCCAAATGAACTACATCCCTCTACAGCAACACAAAGTGTGTTTGTTTGTGTACTTGGAGCAGAGCCCCTCCTCCCCCGTGGAGACACTTTACAAAACCTCCATCTTTGTGCAGATGGCCGCGGAGCAGGTGTGCTGGCTTTGAAGGTTTGCTGTGTTAATGATGGTGTTTTCCTCTTCTGGTCTCACCCACTAAATACTCCAGGCTTCTCCACGGGCTGTGCTTATCAAGGCAGAAAGTAGATTGCTGTGGCTCCTTCCATGGGGTGTTTTCTAACAATGCTCACAGGCTCAGAGAAGGAAATCAGGGAGAGAATGACGACGTTAGCTCCTGTTGCCTCTCAAGGTGACCGTGCTATGAGAACAGCTTGGTGGCTGGTGTGAAAGGCCTGGACTTAGCCTGCTACAAACATTTCCCTTTTCTAAGGACTGTTTTCCTCTGGCACTTACATCATGCTGTTGGAGCCATGCACAGACCTCGGGGGAAATGACTCTGACATTCTGAAATCAAGGCAGGAGACAGGAAAATAGAACCCCGGGACGAGGAGCTCTGGGGGTACTCATGGGCTGATCTGTGTCACTGAAACAAGATCACATTATCTCAGGCCTTCCTGTCTTCACCAGACAGATTCAAAAAATGATTCGACCATAAATGTATTAAGGCCAGCCTCACTTAGGGAGAATTTACTCTCAAGTGTAGCATGTTTTCCCCCAGCAATGCCAAGTGAGGTATGATTAAAAGATTTTGGGCAGACCATTAGTTCATTCATTCATTCATTCACTAAACTAATATTTATCAGTTCTGGGTACTGTGCTAGGTACTGGGTGCTACATGCTGGGTACTGTGCTAGGTACTAGGAATAGATACATGACTGAACAAAACAGACATAAATTTTAATCATCATAATGTATTCATGTGTTTGTCTTTTATTGAATGAATGTTTGTGGAAACACCATTATGTGCCTAACAGCATGTTAGACGCCTGGGATAAGGCAGTAGAATAACACACGCAGTTTTGGAAGCCCCTACATCCTTGGAGATAATTATTTGAGATCACCCTAGGGTGTGAATGTAGCCTCACGTGTTGTTGCTTGGACACCAGTGGAACTACCATCTATAGTTCTACAGAGCTAGAAAATGTGCCTCTTAGGCTGGCGACTTCCATTGCAGTCATGGGTCTGTCCACCTAGGCTGGGTTGAAAAACAGTTGGGAAAATTATTTCATCTAATGAGCAAACAAATGCCTGGTTAAATTATTTGTGCATTCCCTTTCATCTTTTTCCAGCCACATTTTAATCATTATAGACCTTGAAGCAGTAAGTCCAGCAATGCTGCATTTCAGGGTTAGTGTCCAGCCCAGCTTCTAATTCCCTCCAACTCAGCACTTTGCTTCCACAGTTGGCGTTTTTATCTTCCCTCTTTCACTGACTAGGTGTTGATTTCAGGACTTGCTGATTATCTTTTTTTATTATTTTTAAGATAAATCAGTGTCTGTCCAGCACTTTGCTTCCACAGTTGGCGTTTTTATCTTCCCTCTTTCACTGACTAGGTGTTGATTCCAGGACTTGCTGATTATCTTTTTTTTATTATTTTTAAGATAAATCAGTGTCTGTGCTGATATAAATTGAATGACAGAAAACTGCATAATTGATTTACAATTAATTTCTGTGCATTATGTTTTTGAGAATCCAGAAATCTCCCAACTGTTTGAAATAGTTACTGTTTTTTGTCTCTATGTGAAAATGAACTTAGAATTTACCCATCATAGGGGTCAGTATAAGAGTAACCACATTTGCATTTCTTTCAACACTCAGGTTTGGTGATGGTTATACGGTCAAGATTTGGCTCTATAAAGGAACAAATCAGCACAGCGCTATTTCTGACTGCTTGAAGCTCCATTTTCCAGGAATCCAATTTAAGGTAGTACTGATATTCTGCATTACTTCTTTGTTTTCAGCGAAAAAATAATCTTATAAATGTATTTGTCTTTTTACTGTTTTATTCTGTGCTGCCATAAGATACTGCCAGCTGTCTTAGTTTCATTGCAAAGTAGAGGCCATACCTCCTGACTAAATCCAGCATGGATAGCTGATATTGCTTGGTCATTCTGCAGGATGACAAGCCTGCCTGGCTGCTTGGTGGACTGCCCAGGGCAGACGGTGGTTATGAATCACCCTTCTGTGGGCACAGCTCCATTGCATAGCTCATTGTGTTCAGGATGGAAGATGGCAAAAGTTAACTTCTTCCCTATGTTTGCTGGGGGTTAGAGGCTTGGTGACTTCAGCATTATCTCACAAGAAGAGCCCTATGCTTGGGATCATAACCCTCTACAAACCTAATCTGGTGTGGTCCCCGAACCAACAGTATCTTTATCACCCAGAACCTGGTTAGCCTTGCAGAATCTCAGGCCCCAACCTACTGAATCTGAATCTGCATCTTAGCAAGATGATCAGATGATTCCTATGCACGTTAAAGTTTGAGAATCACTGTCTATAATTCTTTTGGATAACTGTGTGATGCTAGTTTATCATAACTTCTAACAGGTTGTAGTCCACAGAGTAGCTGTTCCCTGTTTATTTAAACAATGACCATTTATTGAAATTCTACCACAGAAGAAGCATGCTGTGCAGGACTCTATTGTTCTTGCTTGAGTATGACTCTAAACGACCCTATGAAACAGGTATAATTGTCCCCATTGGCACACATGTAAACAAGGATCAGAACAGTTAAATATCTTACCAAGATCTTCTCAGCTAATGGTGAGAGGACACCTGAGAGCTAAGCCCAAGTCCCAGAGTGAAGTTCAGGGCACCTCCATCCACCTCTGCTAAGCCACATTAACTTCCTCCTTCTTGAATGTCTGTAGGCATCTTCTGACCCCTTAAAGAGGTCTTCCCCATGCTTGTGGCAAGGTGGGGGCATAGCAGTGGGCAGAGCAGCAATTCAACCAGGTGAATGCCACTTATCAAATGTGCTTTATGGTAAATTGTCACCAATAAGGGTTTATTGGAGACTCACAAAATTAACCTGTATCCCTAGTTGGTATTTATGTGTGTGGCTGGAAAATTTATTTGGTAATTAAATGTAGTATGATCAATTTTGTTTAATGATTGCTAATCATGTGACACTTTTTATTGTTTGGCTTTTAGGGACAGCGCCTTAATTTATTAGAATATCATGTGCCAAAAAGGTGGGGATGCTTAGCCGACCTGTTCAAAGTTCTAGAAAATAATAAGACCTTCTTGAATATCAAGCATTACTCCATTAACCAAACCACTTTGGAGCAGGTATAGTACCTTGAACGATTCAGCAGGTTGCATTTTGATACACTCATCAGGCCTATCCCAGCCAATTTAAAAATTAGCCAGATTACTTCTTCAGCTCACCATTGCTCTTAGTTAATCTTGCTCAGTTTTACAAAATTCTGATAAGGATGGTGAGTGGTAGGGTTGGTTTATTTTATGTTGTTTACTAAAAGTACATATTCAGTGGGGCTTCAATTTGTTTATGATTGAGCACTCAGTAAGTTCAAGCATGTCCCATTAACCTTCCCTTCTCCACTTTACCCAGCCCCCAAGAAACTAAGGGGACCCCACTTTAATGCAGTGGTAGCAAACTCAGGGGGAAACAAAATGCGCTTGGTTTACTGTGAGTACAGAAATGTAAAATATATCACAATTTCTTTCTAAAACCATACATAAGGTTTTGAGAATTTCCAGGTGATTTATTAATTGTCCAGAAATATTTATCATTCCTGGTGTTGTGTCCTCAGTGGATTTGCATGATTACGGTGATTTAGGGGAAGGTGGTAAATGAATGACTGTGGCTTTTAGGACAAGGTGGGCAGTATTCTGAGAGAATGTCTCCTCTGCTAATAGTGGAGACAAAACGAAGAGTTGAGAGTTTTTGTAAGTTACCAACTATTTTCATTACTGCTTTCAGGTATTTATTAATTTTGCTACTGAGCTGCAGCACACTCCACAATCTACTCTCAATCCGTCCGCTGACTGTCATCACCCACATCACCTACCCATATAAGCACTAGAGAAGAAATTTCATGAGGAATGACACCTTCTCTTTCACAACAGAGCTGCAGCACACTCCACAATCTACTCTCAATCCGTCCGCTGACTGTCATCACCCACATCAGCTACCCATATAAGCACTAGAGAAGAAATTTCATGAGGAATGACACCTTCTCTTTCACAACCATTAATACTGAAGGATCAGAAATGCATGCACACAGCAGAGGCACTGGAAGATATGCTCCAGGCAGTCAAGTTGCATTTTTTTCATAATTTTCTATTTTGAAACTTTGTTAATTAAGAACCAGCATCCTGGAAGGTCAATCTTTTCTGTAGACTTTTGGGGAGTTCCTCCAACACATTTACTCTCTTGGACAAGCCAGGTGAGTGCCAGCTTCTTCATGACCAAGGCATGATTGAATTGACAGAATCCAAATGAGACACTGTGCAGCAGGAAAGGTTGTCACAGATTATCCACTCCAAACATTTACTTTTAAGGAAACTGAGGCACTCCAAGGTTAAGAAAAAAACTTTCCTAACTTATACAAACAAATTCAGCAAAGTATGTAGTAACTAAACATTAATTTTCAAATATTTTTTAAAAATTTCTAAAAATGCTATTCTCAGAATTGTTGTCCTCAAAGTATTGTCAGATATAAAGTGCTGAGATATGGCTCCCAAAAGCTATATAAACCTGATATTTTGCATCCTCTAGTTAGTAAAATATAGGTTGTGATCAAACGAAAACACTTTCTTGTGACATTTCTTTACCAAAATAAGGTTTCACTAACTCTGTCTTTCCTGAATATCATTCCATATCAAGATGTTTTTAAATGGTAAGGATTAAGCCGATCAAGGATCACTTCGATGTGACTAATTTTGATTCCTACATATCACATAAGTTACACTCTCTTGAAGAAGTTAGTTTAGGGGTATATGATTTTTTTCTTCAATTTTTATAAAATTTCATTGTGAAAATGGAGGATGTAATCTTTTTTCTTATTGTTGAATCAATAAATACCAATTTTTTGCAACACAAACATGTTTATACTGCAGATAATAAACGATATGTGCTTTAATTTAACCTGATTCTCGAATGTAATTGTGTTTTTGCCAATATACTCCCTTGCATCTTTATTTGTGTCTGTAGGGATCCAATTTAATTTAGGTAAGGAGGAAATGAAACTACTCCAGATCTTTGAAAGTTTGAAAGGTTAAAATTTAATTGAGTTTTACCCTGTTATGTTCTGCTCTTAGGGGTTCTTTTCTGGTCTTTGAACTGCTTTATTCTTGAAGTTTTGCTTCAAGGTATGTCTTTGAACAATAAACAAGAAGAAAAATAAACCTGACATGCTAAAACACCACATCCCAGAAGACTGGACACAAAAGGTCAAATCTTATGTTAATGTTGAAAATGTCATTGCATTTATAAGTCATGCAGATATTTTATGCCTTTGAAGTTAAACATTTGTCCTAACACCTTTGGGTTTAAGGTCATGCAACTGAGATTTTTAAACAAACTACCTTCCCTTGAAATCATTCTGAGTAGAGTATTTTACAATACAGAGATAACAGTGATTATTCCAGTTCCAGTAATCTAGCATTTATTATATAGTTTATCTTTACCCATATATTTAAACAGATGATGTATTAAAACCCTCATGCAAAATCAAAATTGTAAAAAGCAGACAAGAAGTATGTAATTAAAATAGTAAAGACTAGGTTGCTTAAGGTTATTGTTAGCTTTGTTTAATGGGTACTAAACTGGTAAATAGTTCAACATAACCACCGCAAAACGTCTGACAAAACACACACACAATACACACCTACATGCACACTGGTAGGGTTCAAGAGAATGATGTGAATACTAGCTTAATTATAAATTTTCTTACCCAAATAAGGGTCATAGGCATTTTGGATTTTCAGACTGGTTTGACCATATTTCTTCTTTGGCTTTTGCTTTGGGCTATAGCTCAGTGAACTTTTATTTATGGTATGTTACAACTTAGTTTCACACACTTGAATAATTCAAAGCCTTTTTATACATATGCACATACACATGCACACACACCTCAACTAAAAGTTATTTAGTTCCTTCAACTAAAATTTATTGAGCCCGTTATACGTACACAAGTAGACGGTGGGTGCTGTAAATGGGGTTGGTGGACTAACAGATGAAAGAACCGTGATCTTTGTCCTTGAGGAGCACACACGCAGGTGAAGTCAAGGTGAGACCAACAGACACTGAGTACTCCCTCCCCTGCTAACGGGGCCAGAGTGATTCACCTTAACCAATGGTGTGGGAAGGGACTTTGTAGGATAGTTACCGCTCGGGTTGGCCTTTACAGATGGAGAATGGGGAAAATGACATGTAAGGGTAAGAGAATATCAGAGCAAATTGACAATATTTAATGAGCATGTGTTTTGCCTGTTACTTTGGGGGTTGCTGAATTTCCATGAATTCAAGAATCCAGTTTTCTCATCTTTAGAATCCCCCTTACATTCTAAGGTGGCTGCTAGATAGAGCTCTAGCTATCACAATATTCAAAGCAGAACAAAAAAAAAAAAAAAGGGAGAGAGAGAGAAAGAGAAATTGGACTTAGGTGATAAATGACCCCTGTTTAAAGAGCTTTCCCGGCAGTCTAACCCACGTACTTAGGCTTGTATTGTGTCATCCAGAAATACTCACATGGCCATAACTAGCTACAAGAAGGTTTGGGCAATGCAGTCTTTAGCTGGGCTCTGACCACTCTAAAATGAAATGAA